GGCCGCGCCAGCGGCGCTGGGACGCGGCGCTCCTGGCGCGCTCCGTGGCGCGCCTGCCGGCCGAGCGCCGCGACGGCGACTACCTGCTGGGCATCAAGCGGCTGCGGCGCCTCTACTGCAACGTGGGCATCGGCTTCCACATCCAGGTGCTGCCCGGCGGCCGCATCGACGGCGTGCACAGCGAGAACCGATACAGTAAGCGCCGCCGCGGGGCCGGGGCGCGCCGCGCCCGGGGGCTCCACTCGCCCCTCGTTTTGGCCGGAGGGGGATGCGGGCAGCGGCTGCTCGGGCTGCAGGAGAGCGGCGGCGCCCGGGGCGCGGGGCGCGACGCGGTGGGGGCTGCGCGGGGGACCCCGCGGGGCCGGGACGCCCTGACTGCCGCCTCTGCTCCGCAGGTCTGCTGGAGATCTCCCCCGTGGAGAGGGGAGTGGTGAGCATATTCGGCGTGAAGAGCGGACTCTTCGTGGCCATGAACAGCAAAGGCAAACTCTACGGATCCGTAAGTAGCTGCCGGGCCGCGTGTGGGCAGGGGCCGCCAGCGGCTGGGGTGAGAGGCGTGCGCAGCGTGGAGCCCACATACCGCCCAGGGAGGCCAAGCTCACCGAGCCCCTCTTGCAAACCCCTCTCCCGGCATGCCTGGCGCTTCCTTGGCTACCACATAGAGAGTAGAGTCATTTGGCCGTGGCCCCTAGTCTGGCCTAGCGTGTTCCCCAGCAGAGCAAGTCCCCACGCCAGGCACAATCTTCCCTATGCTGAAGCATAAACAACTTGCAGCACTTACGGCACTCCCTTGCCTGTTTCTCAGAGGGCACTCAGACCTGTGATCAGCCAGGCCCCCTATATGATTCTTTATGATATGATAAATCGGTGCCTGCCACATACTTAGTGATCACTCCTTGTTCGTGCTCTGCTTGGAGAATCTGTTCTGATGAGGATTCCGCATCTTCAGGGGTCAGGCTTATACACATATATAAGATGGCAAGGCCTATTAGGGGACAATACAGCTCTTCTTTTTATATTGAATCTTGGGAACAAATAGTTAGAGACATCTTTTAAAACCCAGTTGGCTCCTACAATAACAGTGGAGGTCTTTGCCCATTTCCAGCTGTCTTTCTGCTCCTGAGCTCCCCTCCGTACAAGCTGTAGTCAGCATCATTTCATCTCCACTCTCCTGAATCTCCTTCCCCACCCAACGCTTTTCTATTTCTTAACTCTGGTTATGTTTGGAAGGAACTTGAGCTGAGGAAGGGCCCAGCTATATCAGAGCTAACTGGGGTCTTTTCTCCTCGCATGAAGTATCCAAAATGATGCTGTGGCAGCAATCCTGTCACAGAGCATTTTGGCTTTAATTCTGAGGTGGTCAGGATCAGCCATCAAAGTGCAACAGGTTCTTTGCATCATTTCTTCTCAAGGTGTTATGCTGGTCTGGTGTCCTGGAAAAAGCAATCCCCAGGCAGGCTGAGACTTCTCTTATAAACCCCTCAGCTTTTGCCCAGAGATTGCCCAGATCGGCTCTTCTGTTTCCCTGCAGCTCGCACACCTGTAGCACCCATCCCTCTGCGCTTGCCTAAGGACCCGCGTCAGTGGCAGCAAGGTGCCTCTCATGGATTTATCACTTATCGGGCAGCTACTGCTTTGGGAACAAGGCAGACTCATCCCGCAGGCTCCAGAGTATCAGCGGAGCTCTGCATTTTAACATGGGAACACGGGCACAGGCTGCCACTCATCACGCTCTGCCCCAGAATGTTGTGCCTCTTTTCTCACTAAGAGAGAAGGGGCATTGACCAAATGAGAGGAGCAGGAGAGCGGCCCAGAGCTCTGCCCTTGCCCCACTGCACTGTCCTCACTGTTAAAACATGAGTGCAGACTTTGCTACGGGGTGGGCTTCCCAGCCCAGTGCATGCCTGGCCTGGCCACGGGCCTGATCCTTTGAGCCCCCAATGTTGTTTGAAGCTTCGTTTGGTCGATCTCTCCAGGAGCTCTCGCTCCTGTGCGCACCTACCGCACCTGGCGGCGAGAAGATTTCCACACCTGGTGTTTAAAATTCCTTCTTGCTCATTCTCTCCTTTTCATTTCAGACCCACTTCAATGACGAGTGCAAATTCAAAGAGATCCTCCTGCCAAACAACTACAACGCTTATGAATCCAGGATTTATCCCGGGATGTACATAGCCCTGAGCAAAAACGGAAGAACAAAGAAAGGCAATAAAGTATCTCCCACAATGACAGTGACACATTTTCTTCCTAGAATTTGAGAAATCTCCCTTCAGATCTACCTCAGCACGGGGGAAGACAGAGAATGCATTTGGGGAAAGGAAACATGGTGCACTTTTACTGGAGAGTTTTATGCAAGAGTAGGTGTAAGATATTTAAATTAATTATTTAAATGTGTATATATTGCCACAAAAGTTATTTATAGTTCTGTTTTTTTTTTTTGTTTTTCTTTTTTTTTTTAATTTCTGAAAACAAAACAAACCTCCAACCCAAGGTATTTCATTTCATTGTGCAACAGTAGGAAACTTCTGCTTTGTGGTTTATTTAATTCATTTTTAAGTTATGACAGGTGTGCTGCTATTACATGTTCTAAATCAAGTGAAATTCAATTCCTATATTACAATGTTTTGCACTGTTTGTGTGTTGTACAGCGTCTATTGTTGTGCAAGTATTTGTTTGTTACTGTGGTTTTGCTCTTCTTTGTGTGTTTTGAAAACCCTCGTGATTCCCAAAGAAGGTCCTGGTCTTTGAAAGCGAGCTGTCTCAAGCTCCCCAGTCCTGATGCTAGCCCGTAGCCACACACAATGTCTGACCTCCTTTGTGCAGTGTTGCTATTTAATTGAACCAGGATCGGTTTACCTCTGGTACAGAAAGTGCAACGTTGAAGAGCTACCCCTCAAATCTGTTTTTAGATCTGCCAGTGCTGAACTCTGAACTTTCCTGCAGTCAGTCTTCCCAGAGCTACTAGGCAGCAGAGAGGCTTAAACAACTAGATAAACTCAGTGGCTTTTAAAAATTGCTGTTTAGATAAATAGGGACACACAAACTCTTGTGGCCCTTAACTGAAGAGTGTGTTTGATACAATTGGTTTGCATTAGGCTTATATAAAATGTGTCTGAGCCTCCCACCAACAAATTCACTGTGAAATATGCTACTATGAGCAAATTATATCTTATTCAAATCCAATTCCCCTTCAGAATTGGGGACTACATTTATTTTTCAAAGTCTGTGAAACACTATAGTACTCAAACTTTTGAAAGGCACAATCATTTGATTGTTCTTAAGAAACCAGTTCTGTAGATAGAATTTAGATTGATTTCAGGTAAATGAGGTTGTTCTGTATTATTTATTATTATTTCTGGTGCAGTATTTGGATGGAGAAATATGCTGCTTTTTTTCTATGTCTCATTCCCTGACAAAGTTGATTAATTTCTACCTCACTAATGCTTGAAGCCAGTCTCCTAACAAAATCTGCATGGAAGGTACATGCTTTCCTGCTTGGTTTTATAATTGTGGAGAGGGGCCAGGGGGAACAATCCTTGTAATCCCAAATCTTTTTTTTTTTTTTTTTTTTTTTTTCCATATGTAGCCAAAAGTATTCAAGATAGAGTTGGTTGCGTCCTATTTGAGCCTTGTCACGTTTGAGCTATCTTTACCCTCTGATTTACTTTTAGTAAGGATAATCATGGTGAAAATATTTGCAGACAGCTGTCACGCTGCAGTACTATATCGTCATCAAGTAACCCTATATTTTTTCTTTATATATTTTGCACGTGTAACTCATGTCTCTAAAGCAGTGAAGGGAAAGACAGGTTTGAATATGAGGGAATCACAAAAAGGACCCTTTACTTTTGCTTTCTTTCTTTCATTTGTTTAAATTACTTTATCTTCGTGACATCAATATTTCTAGTTTGTAACTGGGACTAACCACAAGGTTTAGCGAATTAGAAGATATGTACAGATCATCTTCCAATTTGAAATAATTAGTTTTAGCTACATGAAAATCTCAAGGCTGCAGGTAATTTGAGTTTGACTTTTTCTTTTTTTTCCTTTTTACATTCCTATATAAAAGTTTTTGTCCTTTGGAATCATATAGACTTGCCTACTTACAAATGACCTTGAAGACAAAATCTACTCGCCGAAGTTCAGTAAAATCAGAGCAGGACCAGACCTCAAATCAGCTTCTGTCAAAACAAAATTAACAATTAAAAAAAAATGAAGCCAAATCAAGAAAGCACCTAGGAAATGTCACACCTAAGGATTTGTTTTCCTGTAATTTGGGGGATTTCTGTACTTTCTGTGTTTCCTATATGTGAGTGATCATTGTGTAATTATCACCACTACCTCTGACAACTGATGATTTTGTTCCAAGTTTCAGATAGCAAAACCAGATCACAAAGAATTTGCCTGGAAATGGTTCTTTGTCACTTTTCACTCCATCGAAATCCACAACTGACAGCCTCACACAAGATACATTCAGAGGTAGTAGTTGTAACATTGAAAGATTGTGATAAAACCTTGATAACAATGTTACACAGTAGGAGCTTTCACCATTTACCAGAATTTGTCTGTAGTTTTATACAGGTGCTGTTCAAGACTGTGGTGTATGTGCTGTGCACATTTAAATGCATAATAAATGATAAACATTTACAACATATGGCACCCTCGTGTTGCTTTTGACTTTTTAGAGTGCAACTCGTCCTGCAGTTAAAGACAGAAATTGCTCTTTCATTTTCACTAAGGTAGGGTAATCTTTGCATCTCTGCCAGATCCTTTAGGAATGCCAATGTGGATTTCTTACTCAGCTAAAATTCACCCAGACAAAGTTGGATTTTTTCCAGGAAAGCCCAGATTCATGAACTTGATTATAAATCTGCAGACCTTCATGTGCCACAAATTAGCATTCTTGTTTGTATTAGCTGTGTGCTTATTAACAACAACAGCTTTTTATGCAGCATCTAAAATTAACGGCTAGAGACAAACCAGTCTGGGGGCTTGTGCTGCTGGGGTTGGTCATACAAATGAAACCAGACTGCCCTTCCCTTGGCTTTAAAGAGTGCTGCTCTCTCTCTCTGCCTTGCTTCAGTGAAATAACTTTACATTGATTTTAGGCATCAAATGCCTTTCACAAACACTGATTACATTCTTACAGGTGTATACAAAGATGAAGTGCTTTGCAGTATACTGGAAAGTAAGATCCACTTGCACAATTTTTATCTATAAATCCTCATGCATATGAGCCTGTGCACACTTGCCACGCACCCACCATGTCCGATCTCTATGCTTTCAGTTTTACTCACGGGTAAGCCCTTTCCTAGGATTAGGGAAGGATATGTAATGGCAATGACAATATTCAGGTTTCATCTTGCATTCCTTGATGGCAAGGCAGTTTGTTCAGCTAAGGGCTATGTGAAATAGAAAGCCAGATGCCAAGAAAGCCAGAGCCGACATCCAGACTTCATTTTCCACTGAATGATATTCCCTTCCCTGTTCCTAGAAAGGGGATGCCAATAAAAGAACTATGAATGGCCAGGATCCTCACTTTGAGCAAGAGCAGTTTCTCTGTAAAGCTATACGGCTCTATAAGACTGCACCATAGGGTTTTCTCTCTCTCTCTCTCTCTTATTATTATTTTTTTTTTTTTTTTTTACTGAACAAAACTAGATGCAGTGTGTTTAATGCTCTATGGATAGAATCAGAATGGCTAGGCAAGCAAACATAAAATAATTTTTCACCATTACCTTTTTGTTTGCATGTAAATGAGAAACAAGTGTAAATGTGGAGACTGCAGGGTCTTCCAAAACTATAGCCAAAAGTTACAACTGGAGAAAAGACTTTGAGCTTCTGTGAAGCCTTCCAGTAAAATGTTAAGATCAGAGGTAAATCCCAGGATGGGCTCCTAGGAAGGGGAGATTTCAGCGTAGTGGCTTTGTGGGTTCATAGCACCCAAAACAGTTGTACTGCATTCACAGTCTTACCCACGGGAGGATTTAAGAGCCTTTTGCCGCTGCGCGGAGAGTAGCTTGAGATATTACAGAGAACTTCTGAGAACTTTTCTTTCTTCTCTAACATCACATTACAGAGAACTTTCAAGAACTTTTCTTTCTTCTCTAGCATCACCTGTTTTTCCTTTATTGCTAATGCAACTTTCTTCCCATTGCCTTTGGAGGTAGTGAAAGCAGCGCACTGGAGGTGCGAGGGAATTTTAACACCAATAAAGTGCCACGGTATACAATGCTGCGCTGCATTTCTGAAATCACGGGGAGCATTGCTAGGCTCCAGGCATGCCCAGTGCTTCTGGCATCCTCTGCCAAGCATTTCTCTGCACTGAACAGCTATTGAAACCTTTCCTGAAAGTGGATTAACCCCTTCTGTAAGGCAGGCACATTTCACCCCCATCAGCCTGCGGGTCCAGCCTGTCATGTAAGCCAAGGCCCGGCACGGAGCGCCAGAGCAGCCGCGGCCCCACGCGCCACTGCCTGCCTTCAGACTCGCCCACTTTCAACAGGCTCAGCTTAACATTTTCTGACTGCCCTGCGACATCTACCACGTTGTCTGTATCTAATCTGTGCTAATAAAAATCAGCATGACAAAACACGCGTTTGTATATAAATAGCCACAGGTTTCAGAGCGGCCACTGAGTTTGTAGGAGGGATTCAGTTGTTCACACTTTACCACTTGGTTTCCACTGCAGTACATTAACTGAGCACGCAAGTGGCCGATTAAAGAGAGTCTGTGAAGAGGTCGAGGAGTCTTTTGATAAAGGCTACCAGGCGCTTGAGTTAGAAAGTTAAAAGGAATTCCCTAAATTACTGCATCTCCTTTATATGACACAAATTATTGTTGCTTATAATGCACAGATAAGAAAAAAAATAGTTTTTTTAATGTAGAAAACTCTGACTAGCTAAAAGAATAGTTTTGTTTTGGTTTGTTGTTTTTCTTTTTTACCAGGTAATTGAAGCATGGATTCTGCTGGCTGCTCTCAGGCAAAACAACAAGAAAAAGGAAGGCACAGCACAGTTTCAGTGTCCTGTGTATCTACTCTGATTTATGGCCTTCAAATGAGAAATACTGCCCTGTCTGCTTTTTTAAAATTGATTTATACTGTGTCAAGAAATGCCTGCAGTCAATCACTTCAGTAGGAAAATACTTATTAAAAAGAAGACATTTTGCGGTATCATGCCTCAATTTATATTAAAAGAAAACTAGTTAACGCTATCTGTAGAAAAGTTTCATTAATCCTTCTCTTTTAAGACATTTA